TTTTTTTTTTTTTTTTTTTTTTTTGTAAGTATTTGCTAGAAATATTTTTTCAAAACATTTTCTGTCGTTATATTGATCGTTCTATCTATAATCTATGTATCATTTTTTTGTTCGTTCTATATATTGTTCGTTTGTGCTATATCTTTCTATCATTCTGTCTATCATTTGTTCATTAGTTCTATCTATCATGCATTTTCTTGTTTATCTATCATCCGTTCGTTCCTCGGTTCGTTCATTCTTTTGTTCTATCGTTTATTTTTGTACGTTCTGTTTGTTTTTTTATTGTTTGTTCTTTTTGTTCTATCATTCGTTTGTCTGTCTATCTATCTATTGTTCTATCAATCTATATATCGTTCCTTTGTTTGTTTGTTTGTTTGTTCATTCAATCTTTTGATCGTTCTGTCAATCATTCTTTTTTGGATTGATGTACAAGTTCAATCAATGTTATACATCGGTCTTGTACAAATCTTGAGATTTTCAGTAGCCCCCAAACGCTTTCACACTGGCCATCTTTTGAGCTAACTTCATTGTTGAGTTCTGCTGTGGTATCAAATTTGGTTGCATAAGTGAAAACAAGCGCCTCCATGAGGGAATTGGTAAATGTTTCATTTGTTTTGCTATTTAGATTTTCATCGTCTTTAATTTGTTACTAATTTTGTATCCGCATAATCTGTGGGCCTGAAAGCACAATCCTGCAGTTGTGCTAGTTAGTAAAATGGCTATTGTTTGAACCCGTAAAAAGGCCAGATGGAATGTGTAACGCTTTTTTTTTTGCATTTTCAGTTATTTTTAATCTTCAGAACAGATTTAATGCGTTAAAATGTTAAACAGAGGCGGGATTACTAAACACCTGTTGGTAGCTGAAAGCACAATCAGTTTAGCCTAAATAAATTGATGCGGCATCGTGAACTTTGTGAATTTAGGCACAGTAGATGCTTTTAAAAAACGGGCAATTGCTGTTGTAGTTTATTGTTTGCTTAGCCCTATTTTTTTTGTCAGTATTAAATTTGACTTGAACGTTTTGGTGATGGTACTTCCTAGCACATTTCAAACCTGTGTTTTTGTACGATTGAATTAACATACTACATAATACACACGATTTTTTTTGTATGTACCATCTGCTAGATTCTTTATCTGGTACTATTAAAAGTTTAACCACGATCTGTTTTCACACATCCAACCTTGAATCAGTGGAACAGCTGTTGGGGTCAGTCATTACAGGTAAATTTTCCTGCATAATGATTGATGCTCATGTCCGACATTGTGGACACAAATGTGCAATGTTAAGACAAACAACTGTGACACATCCCAGTACACTGCTAAATTTGAGCTATGTCATCTTTCTGTCACTTTTTTTTTTTTAGTTTGTTCCTCTTTCTTTACTTCCAATCAGCTTGTGTTGTTTTGACCGCAAATAGCTGCTTGACACTTCTTGGTCATGTTAGTGTCACACTAAACAGTGTTACTTTGTGTTATTTAAAATATGTAAAATGTATTCGATGGAGCCTAGCTCACAATGAAACTCATGGCAGTTGTTTCTGAAGCGATTTGTCATTCCAGTACTACACTAATCTTTAGTCAGTTGAGCGTTTTAATAAAACTGATCGTCTTCAGGACTGGAATCGAAAGCTGTTGTGTCCCAGACACAGATAACTTCAATTCCTGGCATATCAAGGGTTTTATACCGTAATGTAGGCTGGGAGTGGGGTTATTTCGTGCGCAGGGGTCTTTGGTCTTGGCTTTTCTGCCTTTTACTGTTACAAAAAAATAACAAAACCATTCAAACTGGACAAACTTCGCAAACATTTTGTTAGCACTCCTGTTATGCTATATTTGTCCTCTATACCTCCATTATGCAATAGTTTGTATATTTTATTTGTTGTAATACCTGTAAATTCATTTCATGTTTTCATATCCTGTTTTATTAACCACATTTGGTCTTTTTTAATAATTAAACAGATTTTTTTTTAGTTACTGCCATAATTTTGGGTATACGTCAGATAAAACTCAAGCTGATTGCATTCCTTTTTGGCCTGCCTTTAACCCTTGCCTGTGTAGATAAGACAGATATTAACCCGATAGAGAAATGTATCAGAGTATACATAAACCATGTATATTATGTGTTATATTTGTCCTATGAAACTGAGTAACTGCACATGTGTAACTCGAAACATTTTAAGGATTTCAGACTGCATTGATCGTGATTTAGTGATGCTTAGATTCCTTTGGAAATGTTCGTGCTCCGTATGTTGTCCCTTGATTTCACAGAATAAACAAAACATTTCTGATGCACGTATATGTCACTCTTCTATTCAATTCATGTGTTTGTCAAGAAAAAAGAAACTTTCTAATGTCTAACACAGCCACCCCAAAATGCATTTGGACACTTACAAATATGTGAATGTCACTGCATTAGATCAAACCAAATGGCTTTATTTTGGAAAAAAAAAAAGATCGTACAAACATGTTTTCCTAAAGGTTTCGTCTGTTATTTGTTTGGATTACTTTGATTTTGTTTTTGTTTGGTTTTAATGTGTTTGATTTGGTGAATTATAAGCTGTGGGCTAGATGTTTTTAGTATATTTGTTAGTGTCCAAAGTAATTTTGCATACTTAGCTTAATGTAGCTAGTAAAACATGTCTATAGTTTAATATGATGAACTAGTCCTGTGTGTACTTGAGGGAAAATTACTTAACACATCAACTAATGTCAGTATCATTCATACAAATGAAGTGTGGCTTAAATGTCCAAAAGCTTGTTGGGATCACTGTATTTTGGGGTTAAATTGTGTTTTGTTTTCTCAGTAGGCCTAAAAAGTAGGCTAAGTTCTTGTATAATACTGCATATTAAATTGCTTTATTGTAGCTACTAAAATCGGAAATCCAATCTGAATGCAAAGGGAATGAGTCATTCTTGTATAACTTCTAGTTTCTTGCGGGCTTCCTTGTAGCTCAGTGAAACTTTGTGAAAACTGTATCCTGAAACACAAGAGAAGAGTGTTAACCGTAACAGGAAACTCAGAGATCGGGATTTACTTAGTTTGTGTGCTAGTGAACTTTGGGAATCAAAATTGTGGAAATGGGCCAAAGAGCCTTTCAGATTGGACTCCTGATGTTTATTCCACATGCTTCAATAGTTATTTTCCTCCTTTTCTACAACACAGTGTTTTTTTGTGAACGCTTGACGTTACTAATAACCAGTGTATGAAAAACATCTTTAACCCTGGCGAATGTCTTGACACTTTCCTTACATATGCAGGGAGTTCCTGGGAATACGGGCTGCATGTCAAGTGAGACGATCCAGGTGTGCCAATAATGATCTATTGTGTTTTACCAGAGAAAGGTGAGTATGTTAAATGCGACACACATGTACATGTTGAAGGTCTGGATGGGGTCATTAGCCTCACGCTGGTAACAAGATCCTCCGTGTGTGCTCACTTGGTTGATTGGATTCGAGGGGACCCTTTCACGGACTTGAGCGTATTGACAGCTGGCTGGGAAACGTTGGCCCGCTCCTGCGGCGAGAATTGCTCGGAACGGATATTGATTTAAATCAGCGTGTTGACTAATCGGACCTCGATCTGCTCGTGAAGAACTCCAGAAGTGAGCGACCCGAGCTGGATTTTGTGTATTTAATCAGCTGGGCCTGGGCCGAGAAACAAGGGCTCTCCATCGAGTAATGCTGCCCTGGGGATGTTGCGGTGCACTGACGGACACTCTTCTGCACTCCACCAGGACCGTCAGCAGAGGTATGCTGGGAAATGTAAGCCAGATGGCCACTTTCCATTATGTTGTCACACAAATGTGGTTTTCCATCAGCCATTGGGATTCTTGTTTTTCAGGCTTTGTTTTGTTGGTGCAGAGCTGATTTGGAGGAACTGACATGTGATGTTATTGCCTCCCAATGCAGGGATTTGCCTGGATTTTGATGGTTTTTCCCAAATTGGTGCAAATGATAATAAACATGTCCTGACGTTGTGCTCCATGGGAAACATTATTACAAATAGTTTGGACAAGTTTGACAATAGGAAATTCCAAGTATCTTCTGCTGAGAACATTCCCGTGCAAGTCCAGCAGGTGGCAAACTCTTCCCATGACATTCCCAAGCTTTCCAAAGGA